AAAAAAAAAAAAAAAAAAAAAAACATGGAAAAAAACCGACCACGGCCAATGTCCGGTATATACGTATGATATTTACAATGTTATTTTTGGCAACACTTTACCGTTGTGTCATGTGATATAAGATGCAAGCATGCTAATCATTTCCGTAATGTTCAGGTAATGATCAATTTTGGCGACTGAGGACGATTGTGCTAAAATGGCTGAAATTTAATCGGTCTTAAACAGAATGTTCCTTCTGACAGAACAAAACTTTAACTTGATATAAAGAAATGTACAAGAGTTAAATATTTCTTTTGGCAGATTTGTATCAAAAGAGAACTGTGTTAGTAAACTTAACTGAACAAGTATTTATCAATAGACGTTTGGAACTACACGCCTGAAAGATTTAAATTCGAACTCGGAGCCTGCTTCGGGAAGTAGCCAATAGTTTGGCAAAGATAGAGGTTTTCTTCTCCAAATGGAAAAAGTAGGCTTTGACGATTGTTTTGCCTTAGGTGGAATGAAATATTTTAACGAGAGGGAAAATAAGACTTCAGTATGCGAAAAGGGCTAACGGAAATTAAAATCCACCATTCTATGAAAAACCGGAACAAAAAGTTAGGACATTGTGGGTTTTTTAATCCATTTTTCGTGACTTTAGTTTCATTACTTCCCTCCGGCCTGACTGCATCGCAGGTTTTTCGTGGGAACCTAAAGCATGTAAAGAAAATTGCATGTGCGTTATTGTATTTTCAGTTTATTAGTTAACGCTTTGATGTATCTTAGTTATATTATACTTTCTCCTCAATCTTGTATCGGTCTATAGTTGTTATAAATAAATGAAGTATAAATGAATTTATGGGCCTGCAGATTATGCGACTGTCTTTTTTTAATCAGTGATGTGGCAAAGCCAAGAACTTTGTACTCTGAGTGCCAAAAAACACGATTCCAACCAGCCACAGGAATTTACGCGCGAGGGATTTTGTCGTTATTGCTGAAGTTCTAATCTTGACACAACCTATCTGATGATGTTATGACTCAAATCCGGATAAGTAGACCAAGTTTACGATATTCTTAATAACAACAATCAACGCGATAGTCATTTCACAGTAGCAATTTAGTAAAAGACAATTCTCAAAATACTTTCTGGAGAAATACATTGGTTTTTCTCTGCTTGGTTATACGCCCCTGGCTTTTCTACGTCGGGCAACTTGCAAAAAATAAATTATTTTTATTGATGCCAGTTATTCACCTTTACACCGCGCGCTAAGTTACCTGTTAATTACTTGCCTCTAATTTATAAGAAGATGCGGAACACTACGTCAGCTTTGTTGAAAATCTTGTCGATTCTGCTAAGCTTACAGTTCAAAAGGGATTTGGATTTGAAATTCAGTTTGTTAAAGAATTTTAAGAGGCGCTTGCTGAATGCTTTAGAAATAAAACTAAAAATTACATCTTGAACCATCGTTTACGTTCTACAAACCCAACCCACAAAAAATTTCTCTTCAGTGTGTCGATAAAGCATTTCGAACTAAAAAAAATAATTTAGGTAAAAAGCCTGCTTCCTGTTGAAAATCCCGCACTTGTCCTGCGTAGCTATCCACCCTCATAAGCCGATTTAGAAACCACACTTCTGAAATAAGTGAAAATGTTAGGTGGCCAGTCTGGGCGTTCATATCTTTTACGTTAAAAACATAACAGGGTTATAAGATTTTACTGATGCACCCCGTCGTTAGATATATACCAACTGTTCGATTAAAAAGATTGACCTGATTTGTCCTTTGTAAGATCGATGTAGCGGCTGAGACTGTAAAATTAAATGTTAGAAAAATTTTGCTTGCACGGATTGTTGTGCAGTACCATTTATTTTTTTCAGTAATGGAATGCCTGTAAATACGATCATTGTTTGATTTAGATCAGGTATAATCATATAATCAATCATCTTAAACAAGCCTATTGATAAACTGTCAATAGAGATAGTACAAGTGAACAGCTCTTTACGTACAGGCAGATTAGGGAAACTCTTGCCCTTTTTTATTATCAATTCCGTCTCAAATCAAAGTAGATTTCGTTCTTTGTGACCCCTGCTGGGTAATGCAAAATGCAACTGTAATAGTCGAACACTTAAAGATAAATTCTGAACAAGCTAAATGGATACAAGTGAATACTGAACCAATTTGTGCGTGCATTCCCTCCTATCTGTATGCTTCAAGTGTTTGTTCTGTACATTTTCCTTGTATGATTGTGTCATGGATATAAAAAAATAATGTTTCGTCGATGCTCTGTGCATTTTTTTATTCTTGCGGTTGAAATCAACCACGTAGCAAATTTTAGCTCGATAATTGAGAACCACAAGAGCGGGAAATGCGTATGGAAGATTTTCTTTCACGTCAAGAAATTGCCTTGTGGCTGTAACACATCTTTCAGTATTGAAAAAAGAAACTTACGTCGATGCTGTTCTATTTTCAGCCCAATTTCAAACGTTTTTTACCTGAGCGTGTTTTCCACTTGAGTCCAGCCGTTAATTTGGTTAAACTTCTTTCATTGCTGAAGCAGACAGATTTACAAAACCACCTGGACGCAGAATTGAAATTATTAATAACAATGCTATGACAGTTATTCGACGAGCAGATATATTTGTTTTTTCCTCCAGTAGTTATGTGAAAACAAATAAAAGTCCCACCTGTTACATAACAGTAACAAGATGGTCAATTTGTTTCTGCGGGATAAAATATTTCTGCTACAGTACTCAGTTACACAATTTTAGCAATAAAATTTTGCTAAGTTGGAAATTAAGGCTGCAAATGTGACTTTTCACGTAAGCTATTTATCCAGTTATGATGCAATATTTTTGTTAAGTGTATCGTTACATACTACAAGTGGATTGTTTAACTTCCGATTATTCCACACGCGCGCATGTTGACATGCACGCAAACTGCCGCATCCGTGACAGCTATAAAAGAAGGTCGACTTGTTCGTTCGGGTCAAACAACATCAGACAGATTGAATCACCAGCCAAAGCAAGCCAGAATCAGCTCCGTTCAGCCGCAAGACTTTCATCATGACTTTTAAAGTGTGTGTTAATTTAGTGGGCCTGGCCTCTTTGTTAGTGCTTGCCACCTTATTCTCGCGAATCTCCGAGGAAATTCACCGAGGTAAATTGCTGACGACTGCCTTGGGACTGCTACACTTGTACACCTTTGCGACCTGGCTTGGAATGCAGTTCTGGGTCACTTTTGTTGCCGGTGAGTAGGGTTGGGTGGAAATTTTGTTTTCCACTTACTTAGAAGTGAGTTCCTTGAAGACCTTTTTTCCCCTGGTTTTTATTGAAGACAATGTGTATTTTAAAGTGTTTGGAAGAAGCCAATTTCATCGGTATGGGAACACGATCCATCAGGACTGAAGGGGAGTGAAATTGTTGCAACAAAACGAGTCATAATATCTTTTCCTTTTATGCCCCATACGTTTTTTGATAAGCAGGCTGCGTAGGTATAGCTGGCACATACAGATACTAAGTACAGTACAGTATTTAAACGCAGCATATCCTCAGTGCTGTTAAATTGTTTTGATAGAATATTTTCAAAGCCTTGTTGGTCGGCAAAAGAAAATGACAGCAGAAATTGTAAACGGGCGTTTAGGGTGGGTCTGTTAGTAATGGAGGTACTCACTGAAAACGTGCAGAAGCCGTTCCGTAGCTGAGGAAGACATCACCCACGTAAATACTCTACGCAATTCTAGGCTTCCGGCGTTGATAAATGTGTTCGAAATCCTGTTAAAAGGTGAAAAACCCTTTCAACGCCCAAGTGAGTGGAATATGCAACCTCATGCAGACCTCCTAGAAAGTCATATCAAGAGTTTATTTATTTTGCTTAACCGCCCTGCAGTGTCAATAGGAAGTCTTCAAAAGTTTCACAATAAAGATTGGGTTTAAATAACAAACTCAACAGGTGGGCCTTCAAACAGGAAAATACTTGTTTAGGTCGTTTAAAATATCTCTGACCTTTGGGTTGTTTTACAATTATGAATCATATGAGATAAGGTTATTTATCAGAATACAGAACACCTTCTATAAAACGCTCTGACTTTTCGAGACTTTGTATCGTCCAAGTGGCAGATTAAGGCTAAGGAGCTTATCAAAAGCCTTCTGATAGCTTAGGGGGGTGGAAGAATATTGAAATCACTCTGAGTTTTTTCTCACGGAATGTTTCGTGCAATAATACACTGAGTTTCTCGTGTTTCCCAGTGATTGCAATCGTTAATCGTCTATGACTGTAACTGTTATGCCATTGTCTTGGCAGAGATTGCCCTCTTTCGTCGAAGGGTAGTATCGATATTATTATCTTGTATCTACTGCGTGTAGAAGGTCTGGTACAAGCCACAGATTTGCTGCTTAGGAAGTAGACGATTAACTTTGGGAAACAATTTTATAGGATGACAATCGATTGACGCTCCAGGCAACAAGTTCACAGACTTCACATCTACAGCTGAAAATATGTTTGTTTTAATTGCAGTATCCAGTCTTATCGAATGCCTGTCCAAACTAGATTAATACGGTCTATTTGCTTTCTTTCTTTTGTACATAACACGACAAAATTTATATCTGCTTAACACAGCTTCAGTTTTAACTTGTTTGCAATTTGCTGCCATTTGACTCGAGTCCTTTCTTATACACCCTGCGGAGACAGACAGACCCTGAACAGACGGGTTCTGGGGAGCACTGGGTCTAGTCATTATATAACACGGGTTGATGATTCATAATTCAAATACTTTATGAAAAAAAGCTCACGTGCATAATAGTATTTCTCGTGTTCAGTGTTTATCCTGCTTTGTGGGCGTGGCTTGAATTTTTTTTCCTTCCCAATGGGTACTAATTCTTAAACAAAACATCATCTCCCGTGTTTTTTTCTCGGCTCAATACCTTAAAAGGTACCGTAAAAGCTCTCGCTGTGGACCTTTTGAGGCTGAACACCCGAAGAGGCACCAAAACTGCCTCTTTTAACCCCTATAAGGTACGTCGAGCACCCCCCGTGCTTTTTATATGGAAGTCCTCCCCCCGGGACTGAACGCACGCCTTGTGCCATATTTACCTCTGTTGAATGTTTCCGCTGAAATCTTTTTGTTGTTATCTGTTCAGTTGAAGTTACCGTTCTATTTAGTCGATCGTCGACTAGTTTATCCTCTGATGGGTCGATGAAGTTTTTTCTTATTGTATAAAAGGTGAACAAAATGTCTTTGTACAACTCAAAACATTTATCATCGTCACTGATGTTTCTCAACTTAAACCATTGTTAATAGTATTACAACCATTCATCGGAAAAAAAAAATACAAGAAGATCATTCAGCAGTGGCTTATGACTTTCTGCAATCTTCGTTTTTCTCATGTGTTAAATATTCTAATTTAGAAATCTTGTAATAACGCGAAATTTTATTCTTTCGAGAAATTTCTTGAGTCTCAAGGTGTATACTAAACAAATGGATAACAATATTTAGAGAGGAAGCCAAATAGTCGTTTTNCCAGTTCAGTTTGGAACAGTTTTGATAATAATTACAACATTGATAACTCAAAAGAACTCAAAACTTCACCACCATAAATTACAATATATTTAAGGGTCTTAAACCCTGACCCTATTTGAGGATGAATCAAACGAAAATTGCTATCCTGGCCGAATTGGAATTTGAGGATGTTTATGACCTTTTATAGCAATGGTAAAAGGTTGCTAAATTCTAAAGTAGCGAGGCTCATTACTTCTGAATTCTTAACCACAGCCTATCGTCATATATGACAAGCTGATGTGTCTCGTTGCAGGTTACAAAATGTACTTCACCCTGACCAGACACAACTTCGGTCACTTGCAGAGTCAGCTCTTCCCAGTCTACTTTACCGTGGGGTCATGTTTATCCGCCGTCGCCTTAGCAACGTACTACCTCATGCATCCCGTTCAGATGTGGAAAGAAAACGAAAATATTCAGGTAAATTGCAAGATAGAGTGTATTTATTACATAGAGTTAGCAAATATCGGCAAAAAGTGACTCTTTTTGATGATAATAAATAAATAATAATAAATAACTCGGAACTGAGCCTGATTAGTGCTTAGTAAACGAGGACGCATATTCGCCACATTAGAATCGGGAATAAATCTCAGGCGAATCTCATTATGCAGTACTTAGAGAACGACCATTATTTTTTTGAGTTTGAGAGGGGGGAGGGGGGGNTGCACAACAAAAACTGCTGAAAAAAATTCGCGCAAGGGGAGCCATGGGGAAAAAATGAGCAAGTGCTTCCTACTAACCAGGTCCTGTTTTAATTTCGATGTTAAAAAATTCTTACACAAGCTAAGCTATTGCCCACCAAAAAAAGTCATGTAGGGAGAGAAAACAATTTCATGTCCCAGAAAATTGCCCAACAGCCCCTTCCCCCCTCCGGAAAAAAAGGTCCATCCCATACTGGGGCGCTGTATTCGAAGCCGTATTGTCCCTAATAATGATCCATATAGGTGTCTAGGAGATGAGACCCGTTCCAGTCTCTGATGTGCCTCTTGCGTTTCCCATCATAACCTTTTCACATGGTTTTTTGCTTTTTTCAGATTTCCGGCCTCGCTGTATCAATGTTGGCCACATTAATAAACAAGCTGTTTCTGGAACCAAAAACGACTGCCTTGATGATAAAACGATACAGTTACGAAAAGGAACACGGATACGGTGACGATGTTGGGCCCATCAAGGACGAAGCCTTTAAAAAGGACGAAACGTACGTGAGGATGACCCACGAGTTCTGCATGGTACATGGGTTCACATCAATGGCAAACATTCTCTCCTACACTGGGTGCATTCTTCATTTGTGGTATCTGACTAGAAGTCAAGTGTTGGTTATCTAATAAGTCTTTTATTTGGGTCGCGTGGCAACACAGTCATCGTATTTTCTCGGCAATCTGCTACAGTTGTCGTTTTTGTGTATTTGAATCCAGAGGAATTTTTACCTACTGACAGCAGCGAACTGTTTCGTCAAGGTTTTCAACAGTATTTATATATTTTGTCGGCCTCTGATGTCGATTTATTTGAATATTGTAATGCGCTTTTGATCACTATATGTTAAAAAGCGCAATATAAATTAATAAATTATTATTATTAATTATTAAGAATTCTGCTGACAGACAAGCATTGCCTTCAAATTATATTTGGGTACATATACAGATAGGTTATAAAGAGCGTATTATTTAATAGTATGTTAACGTTAATAACCCACCGGAGGATATTGATCCGTCAAATTATTTTTCATCTTGTTTGGTTGTTATTTTAGTACACTCGCCTTGCTGGAGTAGAAACTTGATATACAACGGGTTGGCAGCTTTCATTTCCCTTGATAGTTTTTTTAATTTTTTTTTTTTTTTTGCAATTTTGACTGACGAAAGTCCTTTGGCTGTGTTGTTGAATTCAAGCCGGGAAGCTTACAATAGAATTATTGCCTACGATATTTAATTTAGAAAATTTATAAGGTATGCGATATTTAACTAATTTAATGCTTTGTCGAGCTTCAACATGTCCAATGTTCCGATTTATTTTATGGTCAACGAGACAAAATAAACTTATAAAATCACATTGACTTTGTAATACTAAAACAAAAAGCAGAAATACGAATGTCAATAAAATTAGCAACTGGTTCATTTAGCTGTGAGTTTATGTTTTGCCATATCAATCAGATAGACCCTTGTTTCCGGCCGAGTTTCACCCCCTCGGGAGGTTCTTGTTTTCCCTGCTTGCACAAAGAAGATCATTTTCTTTACCAGAAAATAAGAATCATCAACAGTGATTACACCTCCCGTGTGCGACCACCCAGTTTGTAAAAAACAAAGGCCTCAGTGGATTAAATAAAGTAACCTGCAATATTTAGAGAGGAAGCCCCACCAGCCCTAGCTGGTTTCCATGCGGGTCCTCCATCCTGGTCGAATTGGAATTTGGAGATGTTGGTTTTTGTGGAAGGAGGAAAACCGGAGAACCCGGAGGAAACCCTCGGAGCAAGGCGAGAACCAGTAAGGAGGGCTCCACTGAAAACCGCCTTTGGCGAGTTGGATTCCCTCACTAAATATTATTATTATTATTATTATTATTATTATTATTATTATTATTATTATTATTATTATTACATAACCACTGAATATATTAATGGCCATTCTCGTCCCCAGAGCCTCCGTTTCTTTGGTGACGTCGACATTTTAAAACGAGTAGTACTGGGGACGAGAATGATTGATGGCTTACTTCTCAAATTCATTAATAATTCATCAAGTTTAAACAAAGGAAATCAGGACTGAGACAGTGTTTGGAAATCTGATCTTAATTAGCATAAATTTTTACGATCTTATTTCACCGTTTTCTTTTTAGTTCTAGTTTCGATTGAGAAAATATATCAAACACCAAAGACAGTGGTTGACTACATTTCCGAACACCTCGAAGTTGGTCAAAAATACTCCGCTACGCGTCGTATTTTCAACTCTCTTCTCGGTGTTTGGAAATGTGGTCAAACACGGTCTTTCGTGTTTGATATATTGCATGAAACATGCTGTGGATTGAGCGAAACAAGCGAAGTCATTCTTGTCTAAATAGAATATGGAATTTGCCTACACTGAGTTTCGTATTCCGCTTACACTAAAGCTTACATGCCCATATGCTGTTTATAGTTACTATTCCAGGACTATTGCACCGAAATTTTTTGAATTCAATTGTAATTTTGAAGAACTAGTACAGTACAAAGACAAGTCGTAAAATGCACGGAAATCAACTTTGAAACGATCATGGAATGAACGTGCTGCTTTTCTTGTCGTGAGGCAAACTTTGTCTCCGACGGCAAATACCAAATTCACCTGAGCGATGTACATCTCAGCACGCTGTCGTAACCTTACAATGGTCGAGGTCCCACTAGCACTTGACAGCGCTGTTACAACGTTGTTTTGGTTAACAACAGTGTAACAACGGTGTCACATAACCTGCGGTTCCACTAGCAGTTGTTAACAGCGGTTTCAAATTTGTGGCTGACAACTTGTCAAATATCAGCTTACAATTTACAAAGGTGACATATCACAAAGGAATAAATTACTTATGAATTAGTAGGATGCAATTTACCTTTCCCAGCTGGTAGAGGGCCGGTAAGCAGTTCAGTCGCTGTTAAGATCCATAATTCTAGTGAAATCTTCGTTGTTTGTTTCGCGTGTTCAGAGTGACCGCTAAAAATTTGAACATGACCTTTCAGATGAAACTAAATCACTTTAGCGCGTAAATTCTTATCGCGAAATGGACTTCCCGTTCAAAAAACCGTCATTGGTCTATCTCAAGTGGATTTAGATAGACACCAGATAGATCGTACTTTTAGAGTTTTAAACAGCGTTGTTAAAATCCTTTGATTAAGCCGCGTAACTTGAGCAACAGACACTGACACTGACACTAAAAAAATAGTCGGTCACACTTGAAACAGTGTGACACCGTTGTAACAGCGTTGTCAAATGTGCTAGTGGGACCTCAGCCAATCTAAAATAAGAAATACCCAAAACAATCTCTCGCTGTAAAGTTATGTCTGTAACCAGAGAGTACACGCCCCTTATCTATCAGTCTTTTAGCTGACCCAGTGTATCGGCTTTCAGATCGTTTCAAATTTCAGCCACTTTCGACCTAGCAATCGCTTAGTCGTAGCCTACATGTAGCCTACTTGTAGCCCAAACATTGCAGTCTGTGTTTGATATCATAAGTAATTACAAACGGTATCACACGTGAGCCAGTTATGTCAACAAGCTCGTATCAAGCAAAACAGCGACTAAATACAACACAGCCATAGTATTCGGCTTGGTCTTTATCATTTCAAAGACGTTTGACCATAACTTTTCTAGTCATTTATAACACCTCGATCAAATAAAGGTCTACCGGACTACGCCACAAAAAGTGTCCAAGGATATCCAGTCGAATTCGAGAAATATTTAAAACTCTTTGTCTGACTGTCTTTGATAGACTTGATACTCTCTCGGGAAATTCGTCGATATTCCCTCGTAAGGAAAAAACAAAAATGTAACTATCAATAGTTAAACGTAGTTTGTGGTTTATTTGGTAAAGTCGTAATGACGTCAAACAGGTGACAGTCATGCTAGACGAATAACACCAACTAAAAGGCGCTTATTGTTCAGAATGGCGTACGTAGTTTTAATAGATGTCATAGATTCGTTCTTCTCACCCTTGCTAACTAGGCCTAAGAAACAAAAACAGTCTGACAGCTTCTAGTGTCTTGCCTTGAAAACGAAACAAAACTCTCTCTCAGCTCTTAGTAAAGTCAAGTTTAACTTTTTCCAGAACCGGTAGAAGTGCTGACTGGTCTTCTAGTTGCCTCACACAGACAAGAAGACACTCAGAACAGGGGCCGGAATTCTACTGATTCTATGGTCAGAGCAGGAGTCTAGTGAGTGGTGGTGGTGGTGCGGGGGCGGGGGAAGACAGGAGGGTGGGAACTCGGGAGATAGAGGACGGGAGGGCTAAGGGAGACGAGAGAGCAAGGTACGGTTCTGATCCCCCTGCCCCCCACCAGAAACTAGTAATGGCCAAGGGTCAAGAGTCAAAATCCCTCTGAGGTCTACTCCTGCATGCTGCAAACTGTTCTTTCAATTGGCTTTCTGCTTTAATTAAAAGTAATCATAACTATAACAAAATTATTGTCTGATTTTGTTGATCAATCGTGTGATTACAGACTGAACTCTACTTCACCATTACTCATAAACTCGTGCAGTTTTTTTGCAGTGCCTGGCAGACCTCCTTTTATTAATGCCGTTTATATTACTGGGTAAATAAAGAGAAAGCTTGACAAGCTGTACCAAACAATTAAAAGAGTGTGTTACTGTGCTTTTTTTAAAATTAATGTTTGGCATGACCATTCAAGCCGGCCCCCGTAGCTCAGTGGTTAGAGCACTGGTCTCGTAAACCAGGGGTCAAGAGTTCAAATCTCTTCGGGGGCTGGACCGGTTTAACTTTTTTAAAATACGGTTGAGGTTTTCTTTTTTACTATTTTGTCTTCTTTTTCGGAAACGTCACTCTTCGATTCGTTGTAAATGATTGCTTGTGAGATGAACTGAGTACAGGCAGAAAATAAAAGAAAGGAAAAATCAAGGACTATTTATAGAGACAACTTGTGAAGGAAGCCTAGTATAGGGAGGAATGTGGAAGCGCGGAACCTAACTATTAGGACACTGATATCCTGTAGCGAGCTGTCGTCATATTTTGGGGGTAAGAATTTTAACTATTACGTTGCTCGTCTTCACCTTTTTCCAAAACTCATAGTTGTCTCCTACAATGGGTGATAGAAAAAGACTTTAACCCATCCTTAACCTTTACCGACAGCAAGAGACAAATAAAGTTATTTGCTCAGGGATACGCTGGCGAGAAAGAATTACAAACGAAGAAGTCCTGAAGATGGCTGAGATGGAAAACCTCAGTGAGGGCGTGCGAAAGAGAAGATGAAAATTCAACGGTCACATCATGAGGAAAGAACCAAATAATGACTGCAGAACTGCATTAACCTGGACCCCAGAAGGGCGGCGAAAACGGGCTAGACCAAAGACAACATGGAGGAAGACAGCAGAGAGAGAAAGGGAAAAAGCTGGATGGAAGAACTGGAGTGAGGTACAAATCGCAGCGGTTGACAGAGCTGGTTGGCGGGATTGTGTTGAGGCCTTATGTGCCACATGGCACAAAGAAGATAGGTAACAGGTAACAGCTCAGGGATTTTACTTGTAACGCTCTCTCATAAGAGATACTTCAAGATGAACCATGATCATGAACTAAGCTGCCCAAAAATTCCGTGAAAGATCAGTTAATAACAAGCTTCAATATTGCATCAATTTTCAAAGACGTTTGGGGAGATCCCTGGCTTTTTCTGAACTAACAAATATTCCCCTTGCAATATTTGGACAAGCACTTCCTGCAGAATTCCTCTGAAAACATTCCAACAGTTCAACAAACTCGTCAGTTTCAGCAGGAGACGGATTCCAGTTCTTATCCGGCTTTTCCTGTTCTATTCTCCTTGTTTCTCTCGGTGTAATTCTTTCACGAACCTTCCCTTGCACCTGTAGATTAAGAAACACAACAACCTTTATTGCCACGAACATGAATTTTCCGTCACATTCTGGCAAAGGCATGGTACCAGGAAAACTGGAAAGATATATGAAAAATATATTAATTTAATTGTCATGAACGTGGGACAAAGAAACAAATATTAGGTAATATCCTTTATTTGACAGGATTGAGACAAAAACAGTTAAAGGAAGATAGAGACGAAAAGAATGAACGAGAAAGAAAAAAAAAACCCGAGGAAGTGATTTTTAGTGCACTCTGTTACGTCATATCGTATGACGTCACATGATCAAAATTGGCGACGGAAAAGGGATTAACTCCAGGACCTCCAGGGTGGTTAAAATTTCTTTTTACTTCTTTCTTTTTACCGTCGTTTTCCGATTTATTTCAATACATTTTTGTTTTAAAGAATATTCATCAAACATTTAATGACAATTATTCCAGATTCTTTTCAATCAGCGGTTCGACAAACCTTGTCAGTTGTTTCATCCTGCAGGAAGTAGCTGGTCATATGTGGGTTGAAGTAGCTGGCAAGAGAGGCTACACTGGACTCGGTGTGTAAGAACTGATCACACTTGGCTAACAGCAGAATATCCATCAACACTTGAGTACCAATTTGTCGCTCATATGGGTCAGCGGCATTGTGTTCAAATGTAAAGCCATGGGGAGGGAGCTGATCGTGGTATCTTTCCGCCCGAACAGCGTCCGTGAAAATAACCTGAAAACAAAACGGATATACAGTCGAACCTCTATTAAGGAACCCCCTATTAAGCGGCCAACCTTTATTTGGCGGCCAGCGACCAAAGTCCCGGAAAAATTGTCAGCTATACACTGTAATGAAAACCTTGATTCAACGGCCACTTTGGACCTTCCTCGGAAGTCCTTCATAATCTTTGTTAAGTGGTCAGAAATCTTCGGAAAATCGCCAAATGAAAAAAAACGTCCTTTGTAACATGTTTATATCAAATAAACAAAATAACACATGGTTGCCTTGTAGATACAGGATTTCTCTCTTCTTGTTCAACTTTATCTCACTAGTTCGCTTCACTCACCCATGAGATATCGAGTTGAACAGTCGAAGAGGAATTCTATATCTGTACTCGCCCATGTATTTTTCTCTATGTAAATCTCACTTATGGAACAATATTTAACAACTTGTTTGTTCATGATTTAAAATCAGTGTTACTGCCACTTTCGCGTATTTTAGGAAACATAAATAGCAAAAAGGAAACAATTGAAATAAACTTACCATTTCTGTTCCAAAATAGAAGACAAATTTCTTTATAACTTCATTATTGTCACTTGCAATAAAAATCTTCCTTGGTTGCGGCAACGTCTCCAGAATTGACTGAGCTTTTTTAACCCAACTCATCAAAGATGGCAGCCTTTTCTCGCTTGTTTCCTTCCAATGATCTGTTCCTCGAACGTGAACTCCTAAAACCGTGAAGCCTGCCAGATGTTGCTGGTAAAATATCTCTACTTTCTCGTTTATTCTAGAATTAGGTTTAACGTACTGATGGATCAGTTTATTAACTCGTAATCTCTCCTGTGTGGTTATAATTTTGCTTGTCTCAAATCCATCCACATTACTTCGGTTCTTAAAACTGTTGTCTAGAATTGCTCCTAAATTGTGCTGACTCTTTTCATTTAAACGTTCTATTGTTAGAGCGCCAGTTGCCTCTAAAAGACATATAACATTTTCGACTTTCCGTTCCAAGCCATGATTAACAGGTTCAAAATACCAGTCCCACGAATTTACTCTCGGATTTCTCGAGCAAACTGAATTACAGGCCCTCCAAAACACAGTAGGTTGGTTAATTCCCAAAGCGCGGCACTGCAAGATATGATCCAAAGTGTAAAGAAGAAATGCTGCAAAGCCCATGGTTTGGCAATCTGTTATCGCAGGATCGACAACGCACACTGCTGAGCCGGCAGTTTTACCACGGTTTGTTCTTGTTGAAACAAGGAAGCCATTTACATGTAAACTCATCAACCCTTTCCCCAAATTTTTGCCTTCTGATGTCGAAAAGTTGAACTTAAGTATTTGTTGATCCATCGGTGCCGATTGGAGATGACTGTACAGGAAAAAAACATATAGAACGAAGGCAAAGGGCACAAGGTATCGTTGAATTGAACGAAAAATGTTTAGACGTTTGACAAATCGTAATGAGGCGGCCATGACGGCTTTCTTTCATTACTACTCTCAAACAATACCCTTTATGCTAATCCAAGCCACAAAATATAAATTACAGGAACCGATTATTCTAATTTTGAGTAATTGTAGATAAGATAGCTTGTTTATTATACCGTTTTACAGCAGGTGAAGAAAATAATTGTTTTCTTTCAATAAAATTGAAAATTTGCATTGCACTGTGTTCAAAACTCTTAGTTCAAACTTCAAACCGATTAGCCTAGCCTAGCCAATTTGCCTCCACGAATAAATGAATCGTCAACAAGACCTCGTAATAACTGTAGACAGCTGCATAAACTCGACATCTAATTTTGCAAAAACAGGTTTTTAAATACAGGCTTTGTTTTAAGTACAAAGAAGGAAAATGAATGCCATCCTTTTGATCACTATTACGTTTTTTTTCAGTACCAATTTTACTTCTTTACTTGAATTGTTTTATCTTTAGCAATCATTATAATATTAAAACATTGCGATAAGACAAAAGTTAAAACCGTCACGGTTAAAAACTCTAATTTATTTGAATATAAATGTACAAAACAAATCCTTAGAGACTTAAAATAAAACACTATTAAATGCGAGAAATATTTGCACGCAGTGTCAGGTAAACAGTTTAGCACGAACGGAGTCCTTCTTTATTTGTTTATTAAGGAGCTAAAACCTGGGCTAAATACCCAGGACTCCGTTCGTGCTAAACTGTTTACGTGACACTGCGTGCAAATATTTCTCGCAGTTAATAGTGTTTTATTTTAAGTCTCTAAGGATTTGTTTTGTACATTTATATTCAAATAACGTTTTCTTATTCATTTTGACTTGAAAATAACGTTGAGTAAACGTCGAAACGTCGTCGCCTTTTAGAGTTTTTTTTTTCACAGTTTTTAGAGTTTTTAACCGTGATGGTTTTAACTTTTGTCTTATCGCAATGTTTTGTAGTTAAATTATTGACAAAGCCTATTCTTTTACGAATGAACAGTTTGGCAAAATAATTCAAGCTGGTCTCCGTAGCTCAGTGGTTAGAGCACTGGTCTTGTAAACCAGGGGTCAAGAGTTCAAATCTCTTCGGGGGCTACGCCGATTGAATTTTTGTAAAGCATAGTGAGGTTTTCTTTTGTACTATATTGCCTTCTTTTCGCGCTTGAGTTCTTAGAGTAGTTCTGAGTGATTGCTTGTGAGATGAACTGAGTACTGGCAGAAAATAAAAGAAAGGAAAAAAGCAAGAACTCGAGATAAACTTGTACTGCCTTCTTTTATATTTTAATTTTAATATCAACATTTTTTTCTTCCAGGGTTCAATCGTTGCCTCAGTGTGGCAGTCATATTTTTGTGGTAAGAAACTTAGCTTTTACGTTGCAACTCTTTACCTTTTTCCAAAAATCGTAGTTGTCGGCTCCTACAATGGGTGATAGAAATAGACTGCGACCCAACCTTAACCTTTACAGATGAGAGACAAAGTGAGAAAGCAGTTAATTTCCCAGTGATTTACTTGTAACGCTCGCTTTCAAGAGATATTACAAAATGAACCGCGAGAAGCGCAGCTGCGCAAAGATTTTGTAAATGATCGGTTGATAACAAGTTTGTAACAAGACGAAATGCTGCAAGGCCGGCCATGTTTTGACAATCTGTTATCGCAGGATCCACAGCACAAACTACGGAGCCGCTGGCTTTACCGCGGTTTTTCCTCGTTGCAGCAAAGAAGCCATTCGATTAATTAACGAATGCGTTTTTCAAATCTACAGGCGTTAATGAAATCTTGTTAGTGCCGCTCCAGTTTCTTGTAGGATCTGATCCTGAAAAGGCCAAATCAAGGAATTGCTTGTCTAAGGAAATCGCGTGATGATCATATGGTTGTAGGGGAAACAAAGAAAAAGAAACGCTGAGAACACGAGACAGCACCGAATACAACGTGAAACCTGCGGACGATCGAGACCTCGCATGTACACCATGAGTGCTTCAGTTATACAATCACACACACACACACACACACACACACACACACCCAAAAACCTTCCATATCTAATCCACGAGCTGCAAATTGTAAATTGCCGGATCTAATTATTCCAATTTTTGACTGACAATAGCTGAGTGAAGATAATTATGCCAAACGTGGCAGTAATTTCAGTTGAACTTGTGAACGTTATTTTGCAACAAGAGAAAATGACTCATTTTCTCTTGTTTGCAATTAATTTCGCATATCTATGGATCTACCTCACCCAATACTAATTTAATTTTTCGCATGTATTTAATTTCACGATTAGGGCAAAGCAACTTTCCGCGAGATTTTAATTTCGCGATTTCAAGAAAAATTCTGATTTCAAAAAAAGAGCATTATAAAATTTCGTGAAAGTAGTCAGCACAAAAGTTGATTGCCGCGGAATTACCGACGAATTTAATCGCTGATATCTGACAAGGCAGCTTCTCCAAACGCTCCTTTCCCCTTCTTTATAGAGTGTTTTTCCATATTCTACTAAAACAAACAGGCCGATGAATTGCGCGTTTAGTTTTTTTCGTAAATGTTTAAATATCCGCACTCGACTCGGCTCGCCGATTAGACCTGTTCAAGGCTATTCCGCTAGCATTCCTCTTTTTTAGCTTTTCCTTCTTTACCATTTATCTGTTGATTCGGTTTAGATGCTGAATGTTTCACGGCAGACGATGCAAGATATAAAGATATACTGCATGTAAACGTAAACATTGCAGATTCATTCCCGGGAAACATTACTGTGGCCCGCTGGGAAGTTTGAAGCTGCGTTTCATTGGTTGGCGGCATGGCCACGTTGACAACCGCCTCAGAGAGGTCCGAAAACTGTGAATTTCTTTCGAGGCCGAAAACTTAAGGTTTATTTTTGTGTGAACTACCTCTATTTAAATGAATTAATAGGGTATGTAGATTTATCGGATTTCAATGAAACTTGGACAAAATGTTCGTCAGATATTAGCGCACCAGAGGGCGTGAGGCTTTTGCACAAATCGAAATATTTTTTCCTGTGACGTCCCATTGAGTAACAGCAGTCAGAAAATTTCCTGTTGTCCAACTTTGAAAGAGATTTTCTAAGCAACGAATAGAAATACCGAAAAAGCCTCACACCCTTTGTTAGCCCATCATCTCCTGATTGATAATGTCCGGTCAGTTTGGATTTCCGCGGTAAGACAAAGGCTGGTAATTCAGTTTAGCAAGTACGGTAATTTTTGCGTTTTTAGGCTTGCGCGTGCCTATCAAAACAAAAATAGCAAAATATATTGTTATTTTCGGATACTACAGTTTATTAGCTTTACACTGATGTATAGTTTGCCGTGGTTTTCTTTAAAGCAGCGCGTAAAGAAAGCATTTTCCGGAAGGTACCCCTGAAGGTCTACAGTGACCTTAATGAAGACATTCGCATAACAATGGCTCTTCCGAAGATCTGAGGAGGAGCAGAGCGAAAAATAAAAAATTTTAAAAAGTCGAGAACGTAATAAATTAAAATCTAGAGAATAGATGAAAAAAATTATCTAATTAAATTAATCAAGAAATAGGACTTTGTTGTTAAAGCTTTTAGGAAAAACTGTAAAACAAGAACATTTTTATTTAAACAGCCGTTCAACTGCTTAACAAAAATTCCATTTATCTCACTAAAACCTGTTGTCTCGTTGTTGTCCGTAGTTCATTGGTTACAGCAATGGTTTAGCAAACCAGGGTTAAGAGATTCAAATTTCCTCTAGGGACTATATTTATCTCAATTTCGCTGTCGTTTTAATTCTTAGCGGCCTCAAATACGTTTCCTTCCGATTTTTCTTCAATCATCCTTCCAACTTATTGACAGTAAGTTGCGGTTAAGTTCTCAAAAACCTTCGAGTTTGTTCCAAGTTAACGAATCGACCCTTTGCAGTATTTGAGCAAGCACTTCCTAAATAATTCTTCTGAAAACACTCAAGAATTTCATCCAGCTCTTCGGGATTTTTCTGCTCTGTTTCCTCGTCTCTTCCTCTTTCGTGAACCTTTCCTGATTCCTACAAAGCAATGTGTAGCTATTTTTAGTGAGGTAAATTGCACTGCTGCATTAAATGCTCAAACTTGTTTACAGAGTCCGTCTCATCCTCAGCCAGTGGAACGCTCCGCTGGATAAGAGTAACACGGGCTTGGAGAACCATACTGAATTAAATATACCCTGTGTTTCTAATCATATGTTCAGCCGTCAACACTCAGCAGAGCTGGTGGGGTCGTACATTTACACTAAATTAAAAATAAGTCATCAATAATAAATAAATAAAATAATAATAAACTAGTATTTTAAGAGGAGACCTCCAATCACCTAGAGGTGGTTTTTAGGAGAGTCCTCTAAAATATAAAAGTCTAAAATACAAAAGTGATTAAAGCTAGAAACGTGATACTAAACCTAAGGTTTAAAACTAGAACTAAGATTATAAATTTACTGCTATAAGGTTAAAACATCGTTAAAACATCAAAGCGTATACAAGCTATAAAACTCTAGGTAGATTAACTTACAAATAAAGAAGCCTAAGCCGTGTGTTACACTGTGATAAAACACGACGGAAATTTGAGAACTCGAAGGAAATGTAGAAAACACGAGCAGCAAGCGAGTGTTTTCTACATTTCTCGAGTGCTCTCAAATGCCTTATGCGTGTTCTCAAATACTTTATGATTTAGATTTTACTCGCCGCGAGCTGAGAAACAACAAAGCTCACAGATCAGCAAACTGACGCAATTTAATACCACTAAAGTGTTACATGCCTCGTCTTCAAACTTTCTGCTGCTTCGCAGAGAACTCCATCACAAATTTCTTCAAAGAAAGTATTTTTCATCATCTCTAACAAGAATGTCGACCAGAGGTAACGTGGGAAAAAACAACAAAACACGCTTTTTCTATGTTTTATACCCTGATAAAACATAGGTTTTTGACCAATCAGAGCGCGCGCAGGGTTCTATCTATATTAAAAGAATTGAGCCTGAGGCACATGCATGGATCAATAATTCATTAAACAAACCTTGTTAGTTGTTTCATCCTGCAGGAAGTAGCTGGTCATATGTGGGTTGAAGTAGCTGGCAAGAGAGGCTACGCTGGACTCGGTGTGTAAGAACTGATCACACTTAGCTAACAGCAGAATATCCATCAACACTTGAGTACCAATTTGTCGCTCATATGGGTCAGCGGCATTGTGCTCAAATTTGAAATCATGAGGAGGGATTTGATCGTGGTATCGTTTTGCCCGAACAGCATCAGTGAAAATAACCTAAATATAAAACATTCACACAATATTTTCTCGACCATAGAAATGTAACTAGTCTCTGATCTATGTGATAGAAATATTCCGCCTTCTGTATTTAATTATATACTAGTAGTAGTCAAAAATCATGAGTGCATTCGACACTGTCACTTTCATATATATACTTTAAATGATTTAACCAGCTGGCTTTCAACCTCTGTCTATTGCTAAAATCAACATTTTTCATGAACAATCAAGGTTTTACACATACAGATATCATATCATAGTGTCAAAGTCCATGCCAGTGAAGGGGTCCCCTGTATAGACTATAAGATGGCCGATTTGTTGTTCAAAACGTTGCGTGACGGCGCCAGTTTCCGTGGACTCGCAAAAATAGTAGGCCATCAAAATTCATGTTTTGACGTAAACTAAGCATGAATTCAAAACCTAAACAAAATAACAAGCTTAAACTCTGGCCTGTGAGCAATTTTAAAGCTTCCAATCGATTTGCGTTTATGAAAATCTTCTCGTTTGCCCAAAGGGAAATTCGGTTTGGTTTGCAGTTTCATAATGTCAGGCTCTGCGTCTATGCCAAGTTTTGTTTGTTATTTTTAATTTACTTTCAATGACCTGAGACTAAAGGGGACCAGAACAACATAATCATTTACCTTCATGTGAAAGAAATAAACTGTTATTCACTAAGCCGTTTAACTAGCTGAACATTCTTTCTATGTGTTTGTTTACATACCAACATTCTCTAGTTAAATGTGCGGCTTCTGTTTCCAATCATTTAACCCGCTATAACGAGCTAGACTACCCGGTAAGATAGTTCTATAACCAAGAATCATGGCCATGTGCCGAGCTACACAACTCGGTAAGTTAAAGTAATATATTTTGCGCACAGAAATCAAAGCCAGCGAAGTGAAACGACACATTTTCTCCAGCGATTTATTTCGCACAAAGCAGTGTTGGTTTTTAGTCGAAGACAAGACGGTAGACAACAGGCAGCCGAACTGCACCTTTGTGTTTGTCCCAAAAGTCGTACACATTTCGTGAAGACATCGATGAATGTCAGCTATATGGTCATTTAACGCCATAACTCTAACTTCAAACTTCAAATACGCAACTTGCCGGTAACAGCAGATAAATGCATGGAGAAGCAACGAGCATGGACATGACGTCATTCGCCCCTGAAGAATTTTTTGGGGGTGGCCAAATTGGTGTTCCCCGATAGATAGATAGATAGATACACAGGTCTCGAATTTTTGTGCATTACGCGATTAGAACTGCGTTCTGTCAAACGCAATTAATAGTGAAATAATATTGTGGGGGATCTTTCAAATCTTTCAATTAACGGAGCTTGCTGGATCTCCTGCCTTATCAACTATAATATCGCTGTCATCTTAATATCTTACTGTGCATTAGACATGTACCGGGTCGTTCTCTTTTTTTTTTTATATACCGTAAACTGCAGCTCATAAGCCCTAAAAAAAGTGAAAAGTAACTTTATTTCAACTCGGGTTGATGAGGCTGATTAGGCCCCTAGCAATACAATCATGCTAATATGCCGAGAAAAACATATAAAAAATATCAAAAAATATCAAAAAAAAAAAAAAGAAAAAAAAGAAAAGAAAACTTACATGATCAATTAATGACTAATATTCTAACTATATCAATAAATAAACAATAAACAGTACTAAATCTTAAAATTATTACAGTAAATCATAGAGAACTTCCCTGGGCTCATACAACTTCGTAAGGAGTTTTATCGTTTCGAACTGAGCAACAGTCTCTTAGCTACAGCAGTGTTGGTTTTTAATTAAGCTTTATAACTGATCCGTATTCAACCAGGAGCCATAATCGGGGACGGGGACCGTAAGCGCGCGTCATTTCCAGTATTGGGGTTGTCCCCATGATATGGGACAATAATTCTATATTTAGAACAAATCGCGCCATCGCCTGCGGCACACGCGCGTACATGCTGCGAGGATTTTTGCGGATGTCGCGCAGGGGGAATGGCGCCCGAAATTCCCGAACTTTTTCATGTTTTTGGCCCACAACTCAGCGCGTTTACGTCTGTTGGAATTTTGCTTAAGTATTTTCGTCGTAAGCTGCTCTNGATGGCGCAATTTGTTCTAAAAATAGAAAAATTGTCCCATATCATAGGTGCGCGCGGATCTCAAGACTTACGGTCTCCGTCCCCGATTATGGCTCCTGATTCAACTGAATTCATTTCATCATAGTTTTAAACCAGAGGGGGGCTTATGTTCGTAGGGGATTAAAATTATATTTTGCTTACTGGTACATGGGCCTATACTCAGGGTGGCTTAAAAGCGACAGGGCTTGTAAGCGACAGTTCAATACGGTAACTGATATTATTTTGGTTAACGTATAGCAGATGTTGGGTATTAGTGCTCGCCGCCAAGTGAGGCATACAATTGTTTCCAACCTCCCCTCTAACAAAAATAAAATAGAGTCATGCTGGGTTAGAGTCTAACACTACCTGTCTGTAGCCAGGAGATAGTTGTCACCGTGGGGGCAGGGGAGGGGAACTGTCACTGTGCTAGCGGATTTGGGGGATGGGGGTCACGACGTTGAGAACTTTGCAGTAAATGTTGCAAAAACATTTTCCAATGCCTGCACTCAGCTTGGAAAACAAAAAACACATGAAAACTTACCGTTTCTTTTCCAAAAACCTTCTCAAACTTTATGATAACAGATTTTATGTTCGAAAGGCCGCAAAGGATCATACTAGACGCCACTAACCTGGACCCTCGGGATTAGCGGAATGTAGCGCGTTATCGCGATACGCTCATTATACATGCAGTGAGAATAGCAAAAAGCAAACAATTGAAATTAACTCACCATTTCTGTTCCAAAATAGAAAACAAATTTCTTTATAACTTCATTATTGTCACTTGCAATGAAAATCTTCCTTGGTCGCGACAACGTCTCCAGAATTGACTGAGCTTTCTTAACCCAGCTCACCAAAGATGGCAGCCTTCTCTCGCTTGTTTCCATCCAATGATCTGTTCCTCGAACGTGAACTCCTAAAACCGTGAACCCGGCCAGATATTGCTGGTAAAACATCTCTACTTTCTCCTGTATTCTAGAATTAGGTTTAACATACTGATGAATCAGTTTATTAACTCTTAATCTCTCCTGTGTGGTTATTATTTTGCTTGTCTCAAATCCATCCACATGAGTACGATTCTTAAAGCTGTGGTTAAGAACGAGAAGGCCTCCGATGTCATATGTGACCATCAAAGGGCATAACACGTTTTCTACCCTCGACTCCAACCCTCGATTAACAGATTCAAAATACCAGTCCCATGAATTCACTCTTGGATTTCTCGAGCAAACTGAATTACAAGCCCTCCAGAACACAGTAGGTTGGTTAATTCCCAGAGTGCGACATAGCAAGATGTGATCCAAGGTGTTAAGAAGGAATGCCGCGAAGCCCATGCCTTGACAATCTGTAATCGCAGGATCTACCACACAGACTGCAGAGTCGGCAGTCATGTCGCGGTTTTTCCTTGTTGCAGCAAGGAAAAGACGATTTTGTCGTTTCAATAAAGCAATCTTGAAATCATCAGCAACTCTTTCTGAAGCAGTTCGAAGTACCTTTGCCATATGAGGTTGAAACTTGAAATAGAAACTCAGGAGCGCTATTAACATCAAGGTCACGAGATAAAGAATAACAGAGCGCTGAGAACTGCGGACACGTCTCAAAAACATCATAACTTGTTTATGAGTATATCAAGACTCCAGAAACAACTATAGAAAACGTTAACAATAATCAAAGCCTCATAATGTTATGGTCTGTTGTCGTGAACAATGCTGGAGTTTGTAAGTGAATAAATGAAAGATCACATATTTGAACTGCTGAGAACATGACGAGACTCATGCAATTCTGAAATTCGCAGCAGGGTATGGGTTCTAGTTTGCGGTAATCGACCTGTCACGCATCTCACCGCAAGAGTAAAAGAAGAAGACCAGACAAGAAATAGTCATGCATTGCGAATGGTTAATTATTATGACAGCGATAATAACATTTAAGATTGAGCGCCGGAGAGAATGGTCGTATGTGAACTATTATCCGTATTCACGAGTGTTCGGATACTACGCAAACCGGACGCAATTTCGCGTGAATTGTCTTACAGACCGAATCCTATAACTACCGTAGCAAGAACAGTTTATCCATGGTATTGTTGAAG